CCTTGGCCTCTCTGAGACTGCCAACAAGGGTGGCATCCCCGTCCCCGTCCCCCAAAACCGACAACGGTGGCTTTTTGTGCTGTGGACTCCTGTCCACTGGGAACTGGACTCTGAGCCCACCAACCTCTCCTCACGCAGGCCACCCGGCAGCCACTGCATGGCAACGAACTTGGGCCAATTCCAGCCTGGGCTGCAGTTCTTCCGGTGACCTGGAAGTGAGGCTGTGTACCCCCCTCTCCCCTTCCTCTCCCACCCACCCCCACCTGCCCGGCCCCCCCAGACCTCCCCAAACCTTAGCCAGCCAGGCCCCAGCCAGTGACTTGCCCTTTCTGGGTAGCTTCAGGAGGCATCTGAAGTCTGTGGCTGTCCCTTAACCTCGAGTTAACTCGGAGTTGTGGCAGGTCAGGCCCTCGCCTCGTTCCCCTCCGAGCGCTGGGCCGTGTCGAGCAGCGGTAGCCAGCGCCAGCACTGACCTGTAGCTTGCCCGGCGACGTTGTCCTAGGCGTGCGGAGTGACGAGAGGACTCGGAACGGGGCAACTTTTTTTTTGGGGTGGGGGGAGGCGGGGGAGCTGCTGGGCCGGGGCAGAGAGGGGCCGGGAGCAGCAGCAGGGCCGGCGGGGCGTTGGATCCTCCCTGCCTGTGCGGGGGCGCAGGGATAGCAGCATTGTCGGACTCACCACACCATAACATCTTCATCAAGATCCCAGCCGTTCTCTTGTTGGTTTTTTATTTTTGGTTTTTTGGTTTGGTTTTTTTTTTTTTTTGGCTGCCACCGTTTGTTTTTTTTTTTTTTTTTTTTTTTTTTTTTAAATTTTTTTTGGTTGTTTTTTTGGGGGGGGACGGCACCGATTCTGCCCCTCCCCGTACCCGCCACGTCAGGCCAATTCGAGTAACCGCCAGCCTAGAAACTGCTTGTGACAGCATTTATCCGTCCCCTGCCTCTCCTGCCCCACTTCCCTCGCCCCGGAGAACTCTCCACCTTGGCTCTCTGACTTCCTGGCTAGTTGAAATCTGTCTGTCCCTGGGTCCTCCCCCCCTTCCAAAATTTTCTCCGTGCTTTCTCCACTCGAGCTGTTCAGCTTGGGCTGAATGCTCGATCTGATCCGAGCCCCCCCCCAAAAAAACTCGCCCCCCTCAGTTGGCCTTCCTGCAGCCAGCTTCACCCAGCCTCAGAGCTCTCCCTGGATCCTCCCCCCACCTCCTCTCTGACACTTCCCTGCTCCTGTTATATTTTTTTTCCAAACCCACCTCTCCCTGGCTTGGCATTTCACACCAGCTCCGGCTTTTCCCTTGCCCCCACCCCCTTGCTCCTCCTCCCTGAATTCGGCACGAGAACACCCCCCCCAGCACACGGTGGCTCTGTCACGGTGGCTCTCCCGGGGCAGGGGACAGCTGGCCCAACGAGTGGGCGCAGGTGGCAGTCGGGGAGGGGGTTGGATCCGGCCCATCCCAGGCTGCTGCCAGCCTGGCGGGTCCGTTCGGGAGAGGAGGGACCATCCCGGCAGCGGCCGCCTCTCCCGGTGCTGTCGGACACCTCCATCCTCTGGCACCCATCCTCATCCCGTAGGGGCTGGTCTCTGCTCCTGGCACCTTAGAGCAGTGAGGGGGGGTCTGACGCGCCAGGCCAGGGGGGAGAGGGGCTAGAAGGAAACCGGGCTGGAAGAGCTACTCCTTTGGCGGAGCCGAGCCGCGCTCTGTCCCCGTTCCCTGCCGCTCCCCCGCAGTGCTGCGAGCACCTGCTCCCTCCCGCTCCTCTCTGCTTCTCTTCCTGAGCTCCTCCAGACCTCGCTGCACCGAGGGGTGGGCACAGCCCCCAGCCCACCTTGGCCTCCGTGCGGAGAGGGCCGGGCCGCGTGCGGAGGGGCCGGGGCGGCGGGGCCGGTGTCCGCGCGGGCGCGCGTGCGGGGTGAGTCCTGGCCCCCCCTGGCCTCGGGAAATGGCTAACGCCAGCCTTTTCTCTTTTCTCTCTCTCTCCCTTCCTCTAGCTGACCAAGCTGCACCAGTTGGCAATGCAACAGTCACACTTTCCAATGTCTCATGGCAACACTGGATTCAGTGGTATGGAAACTCCTTCTCTCCGTGTGCGCTAGCGCGGGCCGGAGCCCAGCCCAGGCTGCCCCCGGCTCCTCCGTGGGGCTGCGCTCGCGCTCAAAAACCTAAACCCAAACGTTCCCCCGAGCTGGGCCCGGCCAGGTAACGATTGTTGTGATGTCTCTGGGGGCTGCAGGGGTAGGGACGAGCCGAGCCCGGCACAGGCAGGGCCTCCATCCGTGCTGCTTCCCTCCCTCATCCCCCCCGTACTCTGCCAACGCACTGGGAGACCCCCGGCCTGCAGCACCCGCTCTCTCCCCTCCGGCTACTCCAGGCCTGAGCAGGCAACTGCTGAGTTGTACCAAATTTGCTTTAGATTTGCTAAAATGGCTAAAAAACCCAAGAAAGTGGAAAAAAAAAAATACCCGTTTGGGGCTCTAAACTTGAGACAGCCAAACTCATTGTGACTTGTATCTTAACAGGCATTGACTCCAGCTCTCCAGAGGTGAAAGGCTATTGGGGTAATGATCCAAACACACAATCTGTAGTTACTCTGTTGTGTATTGATGCTGCCTGGGGTCTCGTTCTCCCTGATAGATGCTGCCCACCTTTGTGCCCAGAACGGGGGGGAAAGAGGGTTGAGGGGAACCCTAGAAGGGCTGGAGTTGCAGCCTGACTCAGCTGTCCATGCCCTGGAGCTCAGCTGGATAGTGGAGAGCAGCAGGATTGGGCAGAAGCTCAGCTGTCCCAGTGAGCTGTGGGTCCTGAGCTTCCCCCCCCCCCCCAAAAAAAAAAAACCCACACTGAGAGGAGCAACCCCCAGCCAAGGAGGTGCTGGAGCTGTCAGGAGCCGGAGGTGTGTGGGGACAGCACAATGTCACCTGCTATGTCCCCAGAGCGCTGCCTGCCCCTCACCCAGAGCCTCAGGGTGAGGTCTCGAGGCTCCCACCGCTCCCTCTAGCAGGGAGCGAGCTGGGAATGGGGGGAAAGTGAGAAAACATGGAAAAAATGCACCTGGCACACAGGCTTGGCCCCGTGCGAGGCATGAGTGGCCTTGCAGCACTGGCTGGCGTAGCACTGCCCTGCCAGGCTGCAGCGAGGAGGAGGAGGAGGAAGGAGGGGTGATGTAGCCCTTGGAGGTTGGTACTGGAGTGGGAGCAGAGCTGAGTGCCCGGCTGGAGCCCCCCAGTGCCAGCACCCTGCTCCTGGATGGAGGACCCTGCGGCGACACACGGGGAGGGGACAAGGAGGGGAGAAATCGGGGGGGTGAGTGAGGAGCAGGGGGGAAGCAAGGAGTGGGTGGGGAGCAGCGGGGGGTTGGAGTGACCTCCCAGCCTGCTCTGCCCTCCCCAGCCTGCTCGGAGGCCTCCCAGGCAGCCTGAAGCTGGCAGCACTTGGGGTGCTGCACCCCCAGTCTGTCACCCCCCTCACCTGCCCCCCCCCTCTCTGTCTCTGAGCAGGTTTGGATGCCTCTGCTCAAACCACCTCCCATGAACTCACCATTCCAAACGATGTGAGTATCCCAGGGGCGTCGGGGGGTGGAGGCATCATGGGCAGACAGCTGCCCCTTGGCCCTGGGGGTCCCCAGGATCTGCCCCTCTTAACAAAAGGGGTGTGGGGGGCCTGTTCTCAGCTTTAAAGCTGCAACAGGCTCGTGGCTGCACTCCAAAGTGCCACCTCGGGCCACTCTGGCTGTCACCACATTCCTTATCCCCCTTCCAGTGAGCTTGAAGGCAGAACCCCCTTTTTCAGCCTCTTAAACTCCCTCTTCCAACTCCTCAACCCCGTCCTCCTCCCCCCCATACCAAGTAATCATCCAATCATGAGATTGTTAAGGTTGGAAAAGGCCTCTCAGGCCACCAAGTCCAACTGTTCCCCCAGCACTGTCAAGGCCACCACTGAACCGTGTCCCCAAGGGCCACACCCACGTGCTTTGGGACACCTCCAGGGACAGTGACCCCCCCACTGCCTTGAGCAGCCTGGGGCAGGAGCTGCACAATTCCCACGAAGGAATTTTCCCCAGTACCCGAGAGATGCCAGGCAGGGGGGTGAGGAGGATGAGGGTTAACTAATTAATTAATTAATTAACACGGCTGCTGCCTCCCCTCAGCTGATTGGCTGCATCATCGGGCGTCAGGGCGCCAAGATCAACGAGATCCGCCAGATGTCCGGGGCGCAGATCAAGATTGCCAACCCCGTGGAAGGATCTACTGACCGGCAGGTGACCATAACTGGATCTGCAGCGAGCATCAGCCTGGCCCAGTATCTAATTAATGTCAGGTGAGTCCCCGCTGACGAGGTTCCGGGGGTTCCCAGGCTCCCCTCCCTGTGCCCCGCATGAGGGGAAGGGGTTTTCTCCCTCCCACCCCGTGTTTTCCCCTGTTTCCTTTCCCCCTTCCCTGTGCCTGCTGCCCCAGTTTCCCCACTGCGATCGCCTCCGGGGCTGTGAGACGCTGCAGGGTGATGGATTTGGCTGGAAAAGCTCCGGCCGTGGGGCTGGGGGGAGTCTGTGGCTGCAGAAGGAGCCTCTTGGTGGTCTCTGCTGTTCCACTGCGGTGCTGAGGGGTGACAGGAGGGGCTCCCTGGCCCTGCTCCTGGGGATCCCAAGCATCCCAGGGGGATGCTGTCATCCCAGAGAGTGGCTGGTGCTGCTGGCAGGGCCTGGCTCTGCTCTGGTGCCGTGGGTAGCAGTGGCAGGGCCTGGTCTCAGGCCACCCGTGTCCCTGTGTCCCGTGTTCCCTGCCCTGAGCCAGGAGTTGCACTCTCCCTCCCCCAACTCCACACGCCCCAGAGGGGCTGGGGGTCCCTGGGGCCGTGTCCCTCATCTGGGGGTCCCTGGGGCCGTGTCCCTCATCTGGGGGTCCCTGGGGCCGTGTCCCTGCTCCATGGCAGAGCAGGAGCTGCCAGTGATTGTCTCTGTTTTTTGTCTCATTCCCTTCACGGTGCCCAGGGTGTGACCTCATGGCTGAGCCAGGCTCACTCCCAGGGGTGGGCATGGGGGGTCCCATATGTGGCTCAGCCAGGCCTGGCAGTGCCACTCCCCTCCCCTCTCCTCCCTCCTTCCCTCCCTGCCCTCCCTCCCCCTCCTCCAGCTCGGCTCCTGTTTGTCCTGTGCTTTTTTTTTTTTTTTTTTTTTTTTTTTTGTTTCGCATTTTGTGCCGTTCCTTCCCTCCCACCCACCCGTGTTTTGTTTTGTTTCTTTTTTATTTTTTTTTGTTTGTTTTTTTTGTTCCTTTTCTCCTCTGTTACAGTTTAGAAAGCGCTAAACCCTCCTCCCAGGCAGCCTCCGTCACGATCCCTGACCACCTCAGCATCAACCTCTCTCAACCCTCCACCCCTTCTTCTTCTTCCTCCTCTACCACCACCCCCTCGCTCGCCACCGCGGGGGCCTCCGACGCACCCTCCAGCCTCCCCAACCCTCTTCCGACCGCCCCTTGTGTCTCCAGTCTGCTTGGCATGAAACCTGTCCCTCTCCTGGCGCTAAATGTCGTGTCTGCGGCCAAAGGGGCCGCGGCGCCCGCCGTGCCCTGTGTCACTAACAAACTGAAAGCGGAGAAGCAGAGGTTTTCCCCTTACTGAGGCTGCTCGGGGGACCCACACAGGGGTGGCAGCACCGGGACCCTGTAGAGGAGACTTGGAACAGCAATTTTCTCTATTATCCTCTTTATTTTTTTTTTTTAATTTTATTTTTTTCTCTTTTTTTATTTTTTTCTCTTTTTTTCTCTCTTTTTTTTTTTTTTTTTTTTTTTTTTTAAATTTTCCTCCTTTTTACTCCAAAATCTGAGCTTGTGCTGCTCCTCGAGCAGAGTTTTCTTGCCGGCCGAGAGAGACTGTGTCCCCTTGTCCTGTGATCGGTCGATTCCTTCTCTGCCTGCCTGTAGCTGTCGCTTGTTACTTTTCATTTCTCCTCTCCTTTTTTTTTTTTTTTTTTCCATTTTTTGAGTAGCTTGGTTGCAGTTGTGGGTCGGGAGGGGTGGGAGGGCGGAGGGAGGGAGGGGGAATACATGATTTTGGGGGGGTTGGAATTGCATCCCCGGGGCCTCACCTGTCCTCTCTTAACTGTCTGTACCTGTAATAAAGTTGCCACGGTGAGAACCTGCTCTGGTAGATCTGTGCCGAAGCGGGGGGCCAGCCCCGGGGGGGTCCCCTTCTTATTGACCCCTCTGCCACCCAGATTGGGGTGTGTGTGTCCCCCCTCCCTCCTTAAATTGCAGGGAGGGAGAAGCTTTGAGCCACCTCGGAGGTGTGGCAGCTGTGCTGGGGTTGGGTTTGGGGGGCTCAGAGATGCCCTTGCAATGTCTGTGTGTCCCCTGCCTTGCCCCCCACCCTCCCCCTGCCTGAGGGGTCCCTGCTGGGGGTTCACCCCCCACTCCCATCGCACTCTCCCTTCCCTGCTGCCTCATTCCTGCCCCTTGGGGTCCCCCTTCCCCTGAGTTCCCCCTCGCCCCCAAAAGCTTGGAGCAGAGCCAGCCATGTTCAGCCTGGACACTCCCTCCCTCCCCACCAGCCCCCTGGGAGCCCCTCAGGTGCCTTTTGGGGGGAGGCAGTGCCCTGCACCCCCCTCCTCCCCTCCCTTTCCTCGCTGCTTGTGCATAAACCACCTCCCTCTGCACCCCAAAACCCCCTCCCCTCCCTCCTGGGGGGTTCCCTCTCCAGGTGCTCCCCACGGGGCTGCCTTCCTCCCTACCCGCCTCCTCCTCGGGGGTCCCCTCTGGTGCCCTTTCCTCATTCAAGGATCCCCTCTGATGCCCTTTCCTCATTCAAGGATCCCCTCTGATGCCCTTTCCTCATTCAAGGATCCCCTCTGATGCCCTTTCCTCATTCAAGGATCCCCTCTGATGCCCTTTCCTCATTCAAGGATCCCCTTTGATGCCCTTTCCTTGTTGAGGGGCCCCTCCCCACCCTTTCCTCACTGGAGAGTCCCTTTGATGCCCTTCCCTCATTGGGGGCCCCTCTGAAGCCCTTTCCTTGTTGCAGGGGGGTCCCCTAATCCCTTTCCTCATTGGGGTGGGTCCCTCTGACACCCTTTCCTTGTCAGGAGGGGCCCCTCTGACGCCCCTTCCACATTAGGGGGGGGTCCCTGAGATGCCCTTTCCTCGTTGCAGGGATCCCCTTTGCCCTTTTCTCACTGGGGGGGTCCCTCTGACACCCTTCCCTCATTGCAGGTGTCCCTCTGATGCCCCTTCTTCATTTTGGGGGGGGGGGAGCCCTTCCTCATTTGGGACTCCCTCTGATGCCCTTTTCTCATTGCAGGGGTCCCTCTAAAGCCTTTTCCTCCTCAGTGGGGGGCCCTTCTGACCCGCTTTCTTCCTTTGGGGGGGTCCCTCTGACGCCCTTTTCTCGTTGCAGGCTCTCCTCGGAGACCGGGGGCATGGGCAGCAGTTAGGGGGGCCCCGGACCCCCCCCAGCCTCGCCATCCATCTGCGGCCCCTTTAGCACCGACCCAGGTTTTAACTAGTTTGTACATTTTCGGTTCCTCCAGCCTCGCGCCACTCACCAGGTTCAGTTTGTTTCATTTTTGTTCTGGTTTTTGTTTTTGGGGTTTTTTTTCGGGTTTTTTTGAATTAAAAGATAAAAGCATTTTAATTCCTTTCGTTCAGCTCTCTTAAAAAAAAAAAAAAACTGCTGAACCCCAAATCTTAGTTTTATAAAGCTTCTCCTCTCCTCCGCCCCTTTCCCGCACCTCCCCTCCCTTTCTCCCCCCCCCCTCCTTTTTTCGGCTCATGAAGTTTCTGTTTTTGTCATAAAATGTTAAGAGTGGAAATTAAAAAAAAAGGCAAAAAAAACCCAAACCCACAAAAAAGAAAAAAACACACAAAAAAAAAACCATTTCAGTTTAGTTCTGTAACGTCAGGAAATTTTTCAAAAAAAAACTGAATAAAAAGATGGACTGGAGCTTTTCCTTGTGAATAGAACCTGCAGGATATTTTGGTTAATGGATCTGCCTGTCTCCGTCTTTATTTGAACCCCCTTGGCTCTTCCCAGTGCTCCCAGTACAGCCCCCTTTGGGTTCCCCCAGGAGAGAGAGAAACCAGCCTGACTGGCATTTGGGATCCTTCCAGAGTGTGGGGTTAAACAGCCCAGTGCTCCCAGTATGGCCCAGCTTGGGGATCCCTCTGCAGTGGGATAAACTGGCCCACTGCTCCCACTTATGGCCCAGTTGGGTTTTGGGGTCTCACTGGACTGACATAAACCGGTCCTGGGGCGGGAACTTTGATCCTCTGGATGCGTTTTGGGGGTGTCTCTCCTCTCCCAGTTCCCTGCTAACTGGTCTTTAATGGAAACTGGTGTCCCAGTTGGTTCTGTTCACTCTTTCCTTTCCCCCCCTCCTTCCCCCCAAAATCCCATGGGTGACAATCCTCCCCTCCTCTTCCCTGAGTGTCTGCCACTGCCCAGTGTTCCCAGTGTCACCAGTAAAGAAAGGCTGGGACTATCTGGGGGGCTCAGCCCCTTATACCCTGTGCCCCCTCCCTCGAATCAGGGGGACCCCTCTCCACCTCTACGGGGTTGTTAGAGTAGGACCTTCATAAACAAATGAGGGAGACAAAACACCCTCTCCCCCTGTTCTTTGCCCCACTACCCCCCCAAACCACCTTGCAGTGCCCCCTCAAAGCCCCCTGCCCACCCCCCCCCCAAAAAAAACCCCCTTGCAGTGCCCCCCACCCCGAGGCAGCAGCAGCAGTAGAGATCGATAGATATTTATATAAATATTTGGGGCTGTACAAGTGAGGGGGTGCAGGGGGTGGGGGTGTGAGGGGGGGACACAGGTCACAGGCCCGGGGGGGCTGTGGGCCGGGGGGGCCCCTCGCCGCTGCCTGAGTGGTCGAGCTCTGCGCTGTCACAGTCCGAGTCCTCGGAGACCTTGGGAGGGGGGGACACAAACGGGGGGGTTAAACATCCCCCTTGCCCTGCTACCCCTTTCCTGGGGGACCCTGGAGACCCCCTTCCCCTTGCTAACTCCATCTGGGGGGACTCGATGGAATCCCCCACCCAGCATCCCCAACCCAGGGGGATCCCCATCCCTGGTGGGGCCCTGGAGACCCCCTTCCCCTTGGTAACCCCATCTGAGGGGGCTCAGGGGACCCCTCCATCCCCAACCCTGGGGACCCCCTTCCCCTTGCTGACCCCGTCTAGAGGGGCTCAGGGGACCCCACCATCCCCAACCCAGGGGGACCCCCATCCCTCGTGGGGCCCTGGAGACCCTTTTCCCCTTGCTAACCCCATCCAGGGGGGCTCAGTGGACCCCTCCATCCCCACCCTGGGGACCCCCTTCCCCTTGCTGACCCTGTCTGGGAGAACTTGATGGAACCCCCCAACCCAGGGGGATCCCCATCCCTGCTGGGGCTCTGGAGACCCCTTTCCCCTTGGTAACCCCATCTGGAGGGGCTCAGGGGACACCCCCACTCCACCATCCCCAACCCTGGGGACCCCCTTCCCCTTGCTAACCCCATCTGAGGGGGCTCAGGTGACCCCCCCCACCCCAGCATCCCCAACCCTGGAGACCCCCTTCCCCTTGCTAACTCCATCTGGGGGAACTCGATGGAACCCCCCACCCCAGCATTCCCAACCCAGGGGGACCCCCTTCCCCTTGCTAACCCCGTCCAGGGGTGGCTCAGGGCACCCCACCATCCCCAACCCTGGGGATCCCCACCCCACAGTGCCCATCCCTGGGAGGGCTGTGGGTGCTGCCCAGCACCGGCCCAGGGTGGGTGGGGGCATCACCTTGGGGCTGAGCCCCCCGTGCCGGCGGCCGGGCCCCTCGGGGGGAGCCGCGTCCAGGGGGATCTCGGAGCCCTGGGAGAGCAGGTCCTCGGAGCGGTCGTCGGGACGCTCGTCCGTGTTGGTGCTGCCCACGTCGGGGGTGGCACTGTGGGAGGGCTCGCTCGTGTGCCCCTCGTCCCCGTCCCCATCCGAGAAGTTCTCCGAGCTGAAGGTCGACAGCGACTGGCGCTTGCTCATACCCGGGGGCCACCTGGGCGGGGGGCGAGGGGTGAGGACCCAGGTGCCTGGGCACCCACAGACCCCTCTCAGGTGTCCAAGCACCCATGGACCCCCCCCACCCTGAGGACCCCCATCATCTGCACACCCAGAGCACTTCCCCCCACCCCCCCTCGAAAGACCCTGGACACTCCCACCCCAAAGGACCCAGTGCTCCCACTCCCCTAAATGACCCCTCCTCACCTGGAGGAACCCACATGTCAGTGCCCCCCCCCCCCAAAGCACCCATAGAGGGGGGGCAACACCCACCTCTGCCGCAGTGGCAGCTCCACCTCACTGTCCACTTCACCCTCCTCCTCCTCCGATGAGACCCCCCGCTTCTGGTGGCAAAGGAGGGGGGTGTTGGGGTCCTGCTGCCCCTCAGGAGGGACCCAGGATCCTGAACTCCCCACCCCACCCCAGGAGGGACCCAGGAGTCCTGACCCCCCCACACCTCCTCAGGAGGGACCTCCCCCCAAACCTCTCCCTGGAAGGACTCCACCCCACCTCCCACTCCTGGGAAGGACCTGGGGTTCGTGCCCTGTGTGCCCCCCCTCCCAAAAGAGAGACCCGGGTGTCCGGGGGTCTCACCTGCCCGCGGGTGACGGCCGCCCGGTACAGCAGAGCCGCGGGGGTGAGGTGCTGCCCGGCCCCCCCTTTCCCCCCCCGGCCGGCCCCGCTCTCCCGTTCAGGCTCCCCGGGAGTGGGGGGCTGCGGCGGGGGGGACCCTTGGGTGCCCGTCGCCCCCTCGGGTCCCGCGTCAGGTACCGTGGCCGGGGGGGCACCCGCGGCCTCCAGGGTGCCCCCGAGGATGTCGGGACTGGCAGCGGTGGCGGGGGGCACGGGCAGCCCCCGGGGGGTTCCGGCCTCGGGGCCCAGCTCCCCGCAGCCCCCCCGGGGTCCCGCTTTGCGGTGGCGGCCCTTGGCCCGGCGGCTGCGCCCGGGGGAGGGGGGGCCCTTGGGACACCCCGGCAGGGCCACCTGAGCCATGGCCGCGTCCAGCTTGGGCAGCAGCACCTCCGGCTTCAGGATGTCAGGTCTGGGGGGGGGATTGGACATGGGGAAGGGCTGTGGTTGCGGACCTGGGCAGCCAGGAGCCCTCCCCACCCAGCCAGGAGGGACCCCCATGTCCACACCCCACCAAAAAGATTCCCCCCTCCAAGGGCCACCAGCATCTGCAGGCCCAACCCCCCTCCCCCAAAGGACCCCAGACTCCCACCCTGAGATCCCCAGGAATCTGCACACCTAGAGCACTTCCCCTCACCAAAACCAGACCCAGACTCCCCCACCCCAAAGGACCCAGGGCTCCCAAATCCCCTAAACAACCCCCACACCCAGACCCCCCACCTGGAAGAACCCCCTTGTCCATGCCTCCCCCCTCAACCCAAAGCACCCAGACACACAACCCCCCAGCACCCTCCACCCCAAAGGCCCCAGGGGGACCCCGGGCTCACCTCTTGCCGTGGGGTGAGAGCTTCTGGGGGACGTTGCGTTTCTTGATGAGGGTCTCGACGGCGTTCCCGTGCAGGAGCCCCCGCGGCGCCCGCGGCTTGAAGAGCCCAGGGTAGCGCTTCTCCAGCGCCTGCTCCCTCCTGCCATGGGCCACTCGTGGGCAGCAGCACAGGGCACGGGGCACAGGGGCTTGGGGGGGGGGTGGCTGTGCCCTTGGGGGGCTGGTCTGGAGCTCAGGGTGAGCATGGGGAGGGCATGGCCATGGGGTTGACACAGGGTTGGCCATGGGGTGATCATGGGGTGATCATGGGGTGGGCAAAGGGGGTGCTGGGGGTGCTGTTGAGTGCCAGGAGTGCCCAACTCACCTGAGCAGCTCCTTCTCCTTGAGCTCCAGCTGCAGCATGAGGGCACTGAGCTCCATGTAGAGGTTGTTGGCGCGCTCCAGCTTGCGCTCGTAGTGCTCCCGGATGTCCAGCGCGTGCCTGGCCCCCCAGGACACACAGGGCATTGGCACACACACCCCATGGCACCCACCATGTGCAAGGACAAGCACCCACAGACCCCCACAGCAGCCACCGTGTGCAAGGACAAGCACCCACAGACCCCACAGCACCCACCATGTGCAAGGACAGGCACCCACAGACCCCACAGCACCCACCATGTGCAAGGACAAGCACCCACAGATCCCACAGCAGCCACCATGTGCAGGGACAGGCACCCACAGACCCCCACAGCAGCCACCATGTGCAAGGACAGGCACCCACAGACCCCACAGCACCCACCATGTGCAAGGACAGGCACCCAACAGCCCTCTCTGTACCCCAACACCCGCTGGCACCCCCTGTCCGTGGTCCCCCCCCACCCCAGTGCCCCCGGGCAGGGCCCCACCGGAGCTCCTCGCGCCGGCGGTTGATCAGCTCCTCCTCCAGCCGGTGCAGACACGTCCCCTCCGACTTGATCTTCTCGAAGTGCAGCTTCACCTCCTCCCGCCACTCCGCCTGTGGCACAGGGGCACCGGCTGCCATGGCCACCGGGCACCACAGGCACCAGGCACCCAGGGCACCGGCCACCACAGCCACCGGGCACCCAGGGCACCGGGCACCCAGGGCACCAGGCACCAGCTACCCGGGGCACTGGGCATCCTGGGCACCAGCTGCCACAGGCACTGGGCACCCAGGTCCTGGAATCCCGGGGTGCTGGGATCATGGGGTCCTGGAACCCTGGGGTGCTGGGATCCTGGGGTCCCAGAGTCCAGGGTGCTGGGTACCTGGGATTTGAAGTAGGTCTCCTGGGGGGTGGAGAGGACGTCGGCGGAGGCGATGTCGAGGTGCAGCAGGATCTGGCGGAAGGACGGCCGGTTCCGAGGTTTGCTGTTCCTGGAGGGGGGGAGCAGCACGACTCTGAGGGGTGCTGGGGGTGCTGAGGAGGCTTTTGGGGGACCAGGGGCAGAGAAGGGCACATGGGGCACCCCCAGGGTGAGGGGGCACCTCCTTTACGACCAGGTGTCCCCC